GTGCAGCTCTGGCCCAACCCCCAGCTGGGAAGAGCCTGGTGCTACCACGGGCCCCAGCCTGCAGCGGCAGTTCACCCTTGCCTCATGCAGATTTGAGGGGCACGTGCAGCCCATGGCTCCCTTGGGGGTGTATGTAGCAGTGGGATCTGCTTCCCCCTCTCCATGCCCCCTGAATGAGCCTCTTGTGGCTCCGTGCCCCACCTCGGCTGGGCAGTGCATGCCCCTGTCCTAGCCCCACTCCCTCCCTCTCCAAAGGGGACCACCATCTGCTTTCTCCCCCTGCCCGTTTCCCCCATCCCCCAGCAGACTTACTAGCTGGACACTGCTCTCCAAGCTGCTGCTGGCCTGCATATAGGCAGTTGGATTGGTATCGGCCCATATGGCTTGTTAATAATTGGCCATCAGTATCAGCCCAAAAACATCTTTATTGGTGCAACCCTACTTCAAGCAGTGTTGGCCCTTACTTTGGAAAGGATTTGGTGATGGTAAAAATGTAGATAGTTTCCTTAAAGTTTAGTAGTGTACCTAGATGTAAGTGGTAGTGTCTTGGCAAATGTATACAGTTGATTGAAAATTAGATGTATTCTTAGCAAAACTTTTTCCATGCCTGTTCATCTATACTGCTCTTGTTATTCCGTGTCCGAGTTATGTTTTCTTAGTATCACATCATCAGAGAACAGGAAAAGTGCTAATGCTCAGTGGGTAATGATGAAGAAATTCATAAAACAAATAAGAAAACTGGATAATCTCTATGTATACCTTTATTTTGACTTAAAAATTATTTTACATGTGCATTTTGCATTAACCAGCACTCATGGGGCACCATTAGTGTTGGAATTTTCTGGAAGTTAGGCATTTTATATTTTACACCCCCTCCCCACCCCCCGGCAGTGATGGTGCCCCATGAGCTACTGCTGCTTAATGCAAAATCTACTGTAGTGAAAAGATCACAAACTTATATGTGTGTGTGTGTGTGTATACCTTTTTTTTTTTTGTTCTGTGATGTCTAAGTATTTCTTATTATGATCAAATAAATGTCATTATCTTGCTGTCTGAGAAAAGAATGTCAACTATTTGAAATTTTAACAAGGGATTTTTTTCCTGTAATAAATGGGGTCCTTACTTAAGATGAGGCTATTTGTGTACCAGCTGATTTGCATGTGTTTTTCTTCTGTGTACACTGATTAACTTATACATGATTTACAGTAAAATCAAATATAATGATTAGTTAAGAGTAATATGCCTCTGCACATTGTAGATGTTGTCTGTTCAAATCTAAAATAAAAGTTAAACTTTAATAACATGTTACCAGGAGTTGGGTAAGAACTGTCTGCACATAGTGGCAATTTTTTCTTTGCATGGTATTTCTAGACGAGTGGGATTTCTGTTCAAAGCTACTAGGGCACATTCATTTTGATTACTTGTTTAAAAAGGCAACTTGGCAAACTCCCTTTTGCTTTACTGTTAAACCACTGAAGTTTGTGATCTTTTCACTACAGTAGATTGAAAGTGATGACGAAAGATACTACATTTATTCCAGAAAGGCTTAAACGCTAATGTTGGAGTCCAGCTGGTTTGATATTTCAGTGTGAGGCTGAATTGTGTGCCACTTTTTAATAACAGGAGAGTTATTACTAGGCAGGTTATGGTTTGCTATAACATTTAATATTAAATTTCCTATAGATACAAATATTTATTGAATGAGAGGTAGGCTGAGGCCTGTAAAGCCTGTTTTCTGTATTCCAAAGGGGATGTGTTAGCTGTAGATGAAGCAGCCTCAAGGTAATATTCTGTTCTATATATTTTAATATGGCTTCCTTTTCCTTTGTACAGGGGCCTGAGAAATCTATATTTAAACCATATTCTAGGTGAAAATACATTTTGATATTTAACTACTATATCACCAACACTTGAGTTTAGTTGAATATTTGTTGTGTTACATACACATATATCCATAGAAAGTTTAGAGAGAAAAGGAAAAAGATAATTCAGATAAATTCCAGAAGTAGCACAGCAATTTGCAATATTTAAACTAATCTGTTTTAGAGATTTTACTCTCAGTCAAGTAATCTGGGCCTGCAGATTCTTTCATGTTGAGCCACTTTTCACATCTGAAATGAAAAAAGCAATGCAATGTTTCAGTTCACTTGCCTGTCCAGTCATTCTATCTGAAAGCATTAAATGTTAGATCTGTAGAAAAATAGTTTAAAATCTTCTGTTCTTAAGTAATAAATCTCACCCTCAGAACTTCAGTAATAAAATTAATATAATTCAATCATATGGATGCCAAAAACAAGCAACTGGAATACATATTTTTCTTGTTGATTTCCGCTGTCTGAAATAATAGGTTTTTGGGACTGTGTTGTCACAAGAGACCGGAGGGAACCAGTTGTGACTCTGTGATTCTGTTGGTTGATCTGTGCTTGACTTGGTCTATAAAGTGGCTTATATAACCTAAGAGCAGTTCTTTTACGTACCTTGAAGCCATGGGGTTTCCAAGGAATGAAACTGGGCCATGACAGTTGAAGCACTCATATTATTTAGTGAGCCCTAGGTGGTAGTGACTGAGCATTTGTTACTGCGTGATGAATACTGCATATGTGTGAAATGTCTTGTAGGTCTTTCACTAGTTGATATCCACAACACAAAATATACTCTGAAAGTTACTACTTGTATTGAGTCTTGAAAGACAAATTTATCCCTTTCATTCTATTCATACCCCAAAAAGAGCTGTTTTTCTAGAGAATAGTGCAGTAATGGCATAAAGCAGGGAAACCTATGCTTTGGAAAACATTGTACTGTACTTGTGTTTCAAATTCTGTGTGCTGTAGCATGTTTGATATTCAACAAAGAATTAACCAAGTACATTGTCATATTTTCTCTGAAGCAGCATTGATGCAGTTGCACATATTTCCACACTGTTATATATAGTAAGTTTTAAAAAAATTACTATTGAATATGTATAATTCTTGCAAGGTATAGGCCCAGAACTCTCATATATTCAATTTAATAGAAGAAAGACTTTGTTTATTTACTGGGCTATACTAGGATGCTAATTATTGTCAACTAATATACATCTCAGTAGTAAGGATTTAAGTTCACGATAGGTCCTCCTTTAATATTGCCTCCTTCCAGTTTTTAAATACAGTATGCTGATAGCTAGGAACTAATAAGATATTTACCAAAGACAAATATAAAACAAATAATGTACCATTTAATGGACAGTCAGGATGTAAGCAGGTTCAGTATAGCATTCTGGTGAAAGGGATAATGACACTGTGAAATCAAAGGGGCAGAATTTGGGTGTTTATGGTGAACGCAAAACATTGACTGCTCTGGATCCTTGTCTGCCTTGCCCTAAAAGTGACATTCTGTAAGTATGTTGTACTGCTCAGGGTTTTAATCTTAAATATCTGAGGGCAGGGATGATTTTAGGAATAATGATGATGGACACTGAAATGAAAATTCCAAAACTGCAGTTGACAGGGAAAGTTTTTTTTTTTTTTTTTTGCTTATCAGTAAATGCCTCCTGTATGTTGAATGACTATTTTTCTTTCGCCTACAGGTCAGAGCACCAGAGGCGGTACATACCACTGGATCTGCAGATACACATGTAAGTCTGAAAGATCAGAATATAGGTGTCTCATTAAAAGAATACTTATTTTGCCACAGCTAGCTGTCATTGGTGGGTAATACATGTCACTTGTTGGTATTTATTAGGAAATGGTTTACAGAATTATTTTACCTTTTGGCTTGTCAGTCTCCCATGTCACATGTTTTTAACATAAATAGGTTATGTCTTGTAGCGAGACAGTGCGCCTCAGTTTAGCACTTAAACTTTTAAAAACTCATTCTTTATAACAATTATAGTTCAGTGGCACTGTAGAGTTTTGCTTTCCCTTAGTTACAGCCCACAAAACAAGCTTAGCGCAAGATCTTTTCTTTCATAACTGCCAGTATAATAATCTTTGCTGAATATTCTTTGCAATGGGAACAGGTATTTGAGCAGGAAAAAACAGTTGTGAGGATAGAACATTTATTGTTACACTGAAGAAACTGTTTAAACTAAGCGTAGCTCAATTTGTTTAGAATCGATGATCCTTACAGTCAGTGGTGCCCAACCTTTTTTATACTGTGAACCGGCACAGGGCGCACAGAGTGGCTGCCTTCCTCCTGGGGCTGCCCCACTGCCCAGCTTTAACCCTGCATGTAACTGCTGGCAGTGGAAGCCGCTTGCCCGGGCAGACAGATGGGGGTCTGAGTGGAGGGCTTGTGCCATGACCCAGCAGCCAACACTTCTCAGCCTGGTACTGGGCCACAGCACAGTGGTTGGGAACCTCTGTTTAAAGTGATATCGTGTGTGTAAAGTTAGTTTCTCAAGATAAATTAGAACTGCTTTCTCTTTTAAACATTACCTTTTTTGCTAGCACAACAGACTTTCTAAAACTGATTGGCTAGATTTCTTGCTTTATTGCCTTTCCTTGAGGTTTTCTTCTGTGTCACATTCTTGGTACATTGAGGCCATGAACAGATGCTCTGCTTGAAGTGCTCCAAGTACCTTTGAAGCGCTACAGCCAGTGCAAATCTTCATATCTGAAGAAACGCTTAAACAGTGACCCTTGAAAAAAGAGGAACATCTTTGAAGCACTTCATTTTGAAGCATTTCCTGAAACCTCCAAGTCCTCTAGCAGTGCTCTGGCATCTTGCGGTGCTCCGTTATTCCCTTCCCCCCCCCCCCCATAGTGAGGGAGAAGTGGGGAGAGCAGGGCAGACAGCTGGTGGTTACTCTCCTGTGTACTCTGCTAGTCTCAAGTACCTGATTGGAGAGCAGTACCACCATGTACCTTCACAGCCATTTTGAAGTGCTACCAGGGACATGTTTCATCTCAAAAACACTACTATGCAAGCATCTGCAAGCATCTCTGTTCCAGTGACTGAGAGGAACAGAAAAAGGACAACTTCCCAAAAACAGGGACAATACGTTATATGTAGACTCCAGCCTACTCTACATTAGTTTAACAAATGCTGCCTTCTGTTGCCACACGCTTTTCATACAGACGCACAAATTAGATGTAAGGCTCTGTCTACATTGCTATATTGTCTAGGTGCACAAAATGATCACAGTTTATAAGAAATGTAATTGTCAGCAAAAGTCCCAGTGTGGACGCAGCTCTGCTAGCAAAAGAGTACTTCAACTGGCCAAAGTTAAGCTATTCAGCGGCATGTTTGCACAGTGCTGAAGGAAACTGAATTTGAAGAACTTCAAATGCATATCTGTCCATGAATTAAAACAAAAATGATCAGCAAGAGCAGTACAGAGCTCTAAAACATTAAACAAAGGTCCATTTGCACATGGCTTTTTTCAGGATTTCAGTTTAGTGTATCAATGTAACATTCTATTATCAGTTGCTGAATTGCTTGTGAATCAACAACAATTTTCAAGTTCTGATGGCAGAACCCTTTTTTAATGCATGAGCCAGAAAGACTTGTATTGAGTTTGATCTTAGGTTGTAATAGCTTTATAACTGTCAGCTATTATAAAGTCCACAAAAGCACAGCAACTTAGTGGTATAACAGATGATTTTAGAGATTTCACTCTAAGTCAGAAATCTAGGTCTGTAGATTCTATGTTGAGCCATTTTATGCATCTGAAATTGAAGTAGCAATTATGCTCTAATTCATTCACCTATCCAGTTATTCTATCTGCAAGCATTATATGTCTGTCTAAGAATAAACCTATAGACAAATGTTTTAAAAACACAATTGTGCTCAGTGATCTTTCTCCTTTTGTTGATGGCCTTGAGGATGGAAATTAAAATACAAGAAGAGGAGAAAGAAATTATGGAGTTAAGTTTTAATATGGCTTGGGCCAAAAACTCAAAAACATATTATCATCTGCTTCGGCTAAAGGGTACACGCAGTTCATTGAGCACACTTTCAAATTTATTTCCATGTAATTTTTTTTCAGAGCTGGCTCAGATTGCGCAGCTAGTCTTCTGGCAAAGAGAGTTTGCTTCAGCTCCTTTCAGAAATTGGTGGTGTTTCTTAAGGGATTAACATGGAGTGATGATTAAACCAGGGCCGTCTAATATTTAAGCAGCTGGGGCTGCACTAGTGCAAGCCACAGGCCCTTGGGTTGCAACCACGTCCAACTGAACCCCGTGCACAAGCTGCCACACCCCATACACACCATTGCACTGCATCTTCAGGCATCTGTTGCATTGGGTCGGCAGAACCCCCGATGCACAAACTTGCACACGGTGTACATGGGTGACCCTCTGCACCTCATGTGGGCAGCAGCTCTTCCCACCACTGTGTGTGCGGGTGGTCCCTGCCTCAGCTCCTCCATGGACTCCCCTGGTGCCTTGGGCTGCACTGCTCTGCCCCCTGGGCCAGGAGCCAGAAGTGAAAGGGAGGGAGGGAGGGAAGCTATAGATCAGATTTGAAATACAGAAATTGGAATGAGAGAGTAGGGGAAGAGAGCAAAATCAGAGGAACAGTGCGTGGAAATATTTGATGGAGAAGGGGGAGTCTTGGGAAAGGTGGGATAAAAGACCATTGTCAAAATTGAGCGTATGATTGAGTTAGGCAGAGAACCATCGAAAGGATCTGGCACTGCAACTGAG